CTGCAAGCACAAGAACGATCCGGACACCCCCACCCCTACTCCGCCTCACCACTCTTTGTTCCTGGTTAGAATCACACTGGTCTTCCTGCAGCCAGCACTGGGACGGTCTAGAAGCCAAGAGGAAAGATCCTGCGATCCTATTGCAGGGTGTGGGGAAGGAGCTATGATCTGCCCTACTGATTCAGATTTTGACATATTTTATGCATTCTATAGTATTTTCAGCCTATTATATCCCATGTGGCAATTTGAAGCATGTCTGTGACTTCTTTTACTTGTTTTCATCAAGAGGCAGATCTCATTCCCTTCCTCCTAAATGCAGGCAGGCCTTTATCACTGCTGTCACAAATAATACTGCAGAAGTGAGTCTGTTAAGACCTCTGAGGTGAAATTAGATGAAGCTGAGCAGCCTCTGCTGCTTCTCTTGGATCGGCCTCGGAGCCTGGACACCAAGGCATAAGGAAGAGGAGAGTGTCCATGGCCAGGCCACATGTTCTAACATTCTCCACCAACCCGAGATTTATGCCTATAATACTGGAGGCTGAGGCAGGCGGATCACACACTCAAGTCCAACCTGGGTAACTTTTCAATTTAGCAAGGGAAAATAAAAAATGAAAAAAGGGCTCAGTATGAAGGCCCTGGTTTCAATGCCCAATTGTGGAGGGAAGAAAAACTGGGGTTTGCTCTTCCTTTAGGATGACACACTGAATAGCCACCCTCTTTTCCTTTCACTTTATATGTCAAAGGGAATGGCGTGATACAAATACTTAAAAATTGTTATTTAAAAAAATACAATTAACCTGCAGTACTTCAGCAGTGTGGTGATGACCACTTTCTTTATATTTTCTTTAACTCACTTTAAGAGGATTTTCACCATGTCAGTGGATGCTATTTTAAGAAATGAGATGTCTGCTCAGTAACTGCCTCCATCCTGATGAAATCTATGTCAGTTGTCTGCAGCAACTCTGCTCGCCAGCCAAGACCCAACTGCCTGCTTTGCGTTTCCACCTGGATCCTACAACCACCTTGAAAGCAACAGGCACGATGTGGAGCTCAGGATCTTCTCCACCCCACAGATGTAGCAGTCCCGCAAGACTTCCTACTCCAGAGAAAGGCTGTATCACCAAAGGCAAGACCTGTTGTCCAGGAAGGAAACCTGTCCCCTTTGCTCATTGCTGTATCCCTTACACCTAACACAACGTCTGGCATACAGCTATACTCAGTATTTGTAGAATGAATAGTGCGTACTATCATGACACTGCCATTAAACCAGAACCTTCTCTCCTTCAAAGATCACTGAAATAGGTTATCGAAAACCCAAGCCAATCTTTACTGCCTCTAAAAGCCAGGCTCTTCATCCCATGCCAAAACTACTGCTATTTACTCCAACATTTGGAATGCCTTCTAACATTCTCATCATTACTGTGCATCAACATGCAGTTAAATGAATGAATTGATTATAATTTTCTCTGCTCTACCAAATCTCTACTTCTCACACTGTGTCTCATGAATGTGTGCCACTGCTCGGAAATGAGCGCTGACTGTGTAGTCGGGCACTGAGCAGCAAATCTGAGTGAAATGCTGCTGTCTTGATAGGGAAGATTTCTTTGAGCTCTACTAAGCATTTCTGAAAGCAAATTGTGTCAGCAGACTGAAATTACATGCAAAATTATCCATGCTATTCACACGATAGGCAGTCACACTTTGTAGTAGATGAAGCTTTCAAAATGTAGGAGATGAAGCTGAATAATACCAGCGTTGGTCCGATTACCTCCAATCCAACTCTGCTCATGGTTAAAGGGAGAAACTGCGAACGAGGGTACTCGACTGCCAGGGACTTCAGGTAACACTGGAGAACGTGCTTCTGGCTCTGATGCTCTCGTGGGGCTGTTTCTGTCCTTCATCTACTATTTCTGAGACTGAATACTTAGTGTGATAAGGACACTGTTTTTGGTCCATTATTTTTTCTTTTTTATTCTGCATCACACAAGCAAGCTGGTGGACATGTTGCAGGAACTGAGTAGATGTTTCTTATGGTCTGAGTTCTCTGTGTTCCAGAAAATTATTAATCAGCTGCTGGTTAGCAGTTGGAGGTACACCACTGGTCGCTCAGCAATCACACCTTAAGGGCTGGTAACATTAGCCCTAAGTCACCTGCGCTCTCATTTGAACTGTCACACAGGGTCACAAAAAGTAAATAATGCGATCTGCATACAGATTAGAATCCAGTGGATCTTTTAATTCTAAAAATAACAATGTAAAGTACTGTGGCAATTTGAATAAATTCAAAGTTTAAGCAAAAAATAATTTCTCTAGGTATGGTACTCCTTTCTAGGCTACAAATATATATTTCATGGTAACAGTAGCTAACCTTCATTAAGCACTATGTGTCAGTTACCTTACTTGATTAGGGTACTGGCATTTTCAGACTAGATAACTCCTTTTTTTGTGTGCAGGGTCTCACTATGCAGCTCGGACTTGTAGTGATCCTCCTGTTTTCAGTGTCCCTAGTGCTGGGATTACAGGCATGTGTCACCACACCCAGACTCTAGACTAGATAACTCTTTTATGGGAAATGTGCTTTATTTAGATTTAGCAGCATCTTTGGCCTCCATGCTAATTCTGTACCTAGGGATGGGGAGACGGCTCAGTGGAATAAGTGCTTCCCTTGCAAGTGCAAGGGCCTGAGTTCAATCCCCGGTTCCGGAAAAAAAAAAAAAATTGATAAGAACCTAATTCTGTACCTAGTAAGACAATCAAGTGTCTCCAGGAATTGTTAAATGTTTTCTGACAGGCAAAACTGCCCCCAGGTGAGAACTATTACTTTAGGTAAATCAATTTATTTAATCTTGCATCTTAGTAAATTATATTTTCCACTGTTCCGGGGTTATCAGTCAGCTTTGAATTACTATAATAAAAACCTAAAATAATCTGGAGAGAGGAAAGGTTTATTTTGGCTCGCAACTTTGGCAGTCTCAGTCCACAGTCAGGTGGCCATTGCTTCTGGCCCTGTGGCCAGGCATATGTGACAGTGAGGCACATGACAGTGAGGCATGTGACAGAGGATGCTCTCATCCCTCATCTCTGGGAAGGAGAAAAGACAGGTTTGGGGTTCAAGATGCTCTTCAAGGACACACCCATGACCCAACTTCCTCCCATTATGCCTGTCTTTGAAAAGTTCTACCATCTTCCAAATATATCACAGTGACCAAGCCTTTAAGTCATGGGCTTTTGGAGGCCACTTAACCAACCATAAGAAGTATGAATACAGGCACGGAGAGTGAACAACTTACCCAAAGCCACAGCTGGTGCTGATATGGCTGGTACTGGATCCAAGGCAGTGTGACTCTAGAGCACCAAGTCTTAATGGGTACCACTAGTGGGAGGAACCTACACACACATGCCGCAGCAGGCTGCTTGTGTCACTGAAAATTCTGAAAGGTTCGCCATCAATAGTCAAGATTCAATCTTTTCTGATTGATGAGATGAGGCTCATAGAGCACAACCCCTTCCACAGCGGTGAAAACTGGCCTGAAGATTGCAAATAACTTGAAAGAGCAAAGCAGCAAGGTCTTCATTTGTGCATGTGTGGCTTGTGGTGACTAAATTAGAAAACTCTTCTACAGGCGAATCTAAAAACACATCTTAGCAACTTTTTTCTTTTACACCTGAGTCACTTTCAGACCCAGGTAGATGCTTAGTATAATTTAAGTGCCTTCTCTCTTAATAGAAACATCTTGCCCACCGGCCAGCATAATTCTCATCAATTACATTTCCTCCTGTAATAGGAGATTTACATCTTCCAATTAGAGAATTCCATTTGCACATGACCCTTATTAAAATGTTAATATCTATATTAAGCTCTGTTAGTCTTTGTTTATTGAAATTAATCAAATTAGTGAGTCATTTAGCAAGACATTAGAAGTTCCGATGGCCTGATCAGGGCAGGAAAATGTAGTTACAAGGGAACTGTCAGGGAAGCTCCGCTCGGGGCTGGTCACACACGCGGTGTGGGGTAGTACAGGACAGGAAATACACTGAGGAGACAGGAGACTGATAGCAAGGCAGAATGATGGTTACTCACAAGGAACTTGCTTTCTGTCCCTTTCTCAGTTTCCTCTGGACAATCTCTCCCCATCCTGATATCCTGGAGGTTTTTCCTCAATATTCAGATTGGTCCATGACAGGCTACACAGCACATAGCAGTTGGATAATACACAAGGGGCTTAAGACTATCCCAGCTGAATCATTCAAGTCAGCCACTCCGACTTTCTCCTGCGATGACACATGGATTTCTACACTAAGAAAACCTAAGACTGAATCTGCACTGTGAGTCCTATTCCTGGGTTCTGGCTTCTCCAAACACAAATTCCACCATTTGCTATAGGAAACGCAGATGCACAGAATTTGCTAGATGTGGCTGCCACCAATTAAGTCAGAAATTCTTCCCTTGCTATTACCTGTAGGTAGGCAAAATGGGATTCCATGTTTTGTCTTCTCAATCCCTCTATGTAAAAATGTACAGAAAACAATTTCTTTTCTTTGAAGCAGAGAGTGCCAATCAGTACATAAAAAGGCTTCCTGCCTAGGATGTCTTCTGTGAAAATTTTCTCCCAAAAAAGAAATGAAAGAATAAAATATGACTGAAATTTAAGCTAGACCCTAATCACACTTTACATTTGCTCAAAACAATTTTGAAGCATTCAAATGCTCATAGAAAACTTAAAATCAGAGCCAAAGTTCACAACTAATAAAAAAGGGAAAAATTACTGTGAACTCTTCAAGGCCAATGATTTTTTTCTTAAAAAATGGTAAGCAAGCAAGAAAAAACCCACTGCTGTTTCAAAGCTAGCACGAGTGGCTAACCACACGAGTGACCAGACAGACTGCACAGGAGCACAGTGGAGTGCTCACGTGGGCGAGGTGGAAAGCGGGTCCGCATCTGATAAGGCTGCCTTGTCTGTGAGAAAATGAGGGTGAAAAGATAAGCATATACAAGCTCAGATTTTTAGAAGAATGTTTATTATATTTTTGCAACAATCATCTTTTAAAACGGTGGCCTTAGGAAATCTGCTTCGGCAAGCAGCGGCAGAGGCTCCTGTGGAGAGGAAGTGAAAAGACTGGGCATGCAAACACGGGCTGCTGGCACGTTCAAAGCGCAGGGGATAGTTCACAGAGCAAAATGGAGCCCTAAGTAAATGGGTTTCAGGCAATTTCAGTGTTAAGATAACATCATTAAGAGTAGAACAGATTGTGCTCAAACCCTGCTGTTTATAATTAACACGTTGCTTCCAAATACTCCAGGGTCCCTGGTAAATAGTCTTCTGCTCACATCCATCCAGACCAATCAGAATATTTTCATCAGATTCCATGCTGGGCCAGCACCTGTTTGGACAAATCCAGTAGAGCCAAAGAACTCCTCTCCCTGGCTAGCCAAGGCGCTGGATGAACACAGCTTGGCTTAGTCACTGCCACAGTGTCCATATGGCTTTGAAGCTTGTTTTCACAGGAAATCATACAAGTATTTTATTATGTCAAAGTTCACTGTCCTATAAACAAAAACAGATAATATATTAGCATCCTCACCTCTAGATTGCTCAGCTTAGTGTGATTCTGGGAAGAACAAACAAAATAATTCAGAACTAATACTAAATGATTCTACAGTACTGTTAAAAGCATATAACAAGATTGATATGAATTTTTAAAAATGTCACTAGGAACACAGTTTCTTTAAAAGTCTTTAAAGTTTTTGCCATGGAAAAAGTTTATTTTTCTTTTAAAAAAACGGATACAAAAGAGGTATTCAACATTTTGTATTTCAATTCTACTACAGAGTGTCTAGATTTCATCTCAAAGCTGCTTTTGTCTAATAATCAGAATGAAGTAATTAGCAATAAGAAAGTATTTAAATCCTTGCTTCTAAAGACCGTTTATCTTCCCCAACACCTGTTTTACCATTACATAAATGCCCAGCTCCTTTGTCCTCATCTGAAGATTTCATTCTTTTCAATCTTTTAACAGGGGTTGACTTGTATGTGAATTATAACTAAATCTGTATGATCTAAGAATACGATACAACAAACAGACGATGTGGATGTATATTTTTATACTCTGGTGGCAGGCAGAATAAAACAGCAGAGAGAGACATATAATTATTTTCCTTTCTCTAAACTCATTCTTCACTATAAATATTCAGACTTGGAGGTTTATTATTTGAATAAATGGTCAAAATAATTAGATCTAATGATTTAGCCATAAGTATAGAATTAAAGCCTTAACTATTCCATTCCACAAAAATAATCGTCCATGTGCGAACAGTCTTTTAAAGATTCCCTAATTGCATGCTTATTTATTAAAATATCATCAATTAATGTTTTTGTCTATCATTTTATAATACACTTTCTAAAAAAGTTTTTAACACAATGACTGACATCAAATATTTTTCAAAATTTGGACAAAGAACTGTAGATAGTGCTTATGAAAACACATTTAAGAATAGCTCCAGTGAGATGCCACGGCTGTCATGCTGCCTCACGCTGCACTGACGCGTCTCCTGCTTGATGGTCGCAGGGCCTCTCTGAAAACCACTCACCCTTTCCAAGGGGCACAAAAACACTGCCAAAATAACTGTTATCACTAGCAATGATAAAAGTAAAATTAGTTAAATTTTAAAAGTGTTATATAGAAAAGACACAAAAGACCTGGTTATCAAATCAGAATGCTACTTTTGGTGTTTTGTTTTCAATCAACTTTTAGTCCCCCAAATTTAATATCAACAAAGTACCTATGAAAGTAATTTTTAAAAATTATGTTGTTGGTTGAAAACAACTTCTTTTAGAGGATTTAAAAAGGGAACGTGTGTAGTAGACTACATTAAATCACTGAAAGAAAAAGGAACTGGAATTGGTACATCCCACTGGGCACATTTTTCACTGCAATCACTTTGGGTCTGAAGGTTTTAAATGTGAAGTGACAAAGTAAAATGCTGTTTACTTGTTTTTGGCTTTGATGACAATAAAAAGTTCACAAACAGCTAAAATCAAAACTAATTCAAATACTAAGGGAAATCCTTAAATTGTAGGCATTATTTAATGTACTGTCCTATACCATACGAAAGTGTTCAATATGAGGACAAACCTACATTATAAAGGATGTAAATAAAATAACAATGCAACTACGTCTGCAGTGCCTGCTATGGAGACATGTAGGCCTAATGGACTAGTACTAGAGGAGGGCAATAAATACGTGAAAATAATCTTATTAGTGATAGGACCTTCTGCCCTTTTCAGTTATATATTTTGTTACCATATCATGGTTTATGAGCTATAGTTTTCTTTAACAGAATAAAAGGACTTATTTTAAAACTCTAAGCCATGTAAATGTACTCATTTATAAGAGCTTTACTGTATTCTACTTGTCAATGGAAATCTTGAAGTAAATCGAATCATACAGTTTAAGATATAAGATCATTCATTTAAGAGACTTTTACTGCCCAAGATGCCCACCAAGCCTCTCACTTTTCTAGCCTTCTGCAGAAACAGGTGAAGTAACAATTGGTCCCCGCATTCATTCTTCTAAAACAAGCCAGCATTTGATAGAATAACCGTAAAGGCAACATCAAAGTTTGTATGCCACATAAAGGAGCATTTTGCTCTAAAGAATAAATAATCTACTTCAAATAAAGCTTTAGCTTACAAAAAAATACATATGCTTTGCATTTACTCATGGGCTTTCTTAGCTTCAGATGTATATTAAATTCATGTACATAAATACAATTTTAAGGTAACTTTTATACAGTATAATAAATTTTGTCTCCTGTGGAATGTAAATCAATTACTACCTAAAATAAGCAGTTGGAAATGTGATAAACATAAACAAAACTCAGAATTTAGAATAATCCAACTTAATTATATGATTTAAAGGATGTAGTTTTGTCTACAAACTTTTAGTTCACTTTGTCAATTTTTTTTAACTCTACATTGAAGTATTTTGTTCTCATAGAATACTCTTTCATTCCCTTTTACTTCTGTGCATAGTTCAAGTTCAGGTCCCTTTTTAAGATGTGTTTTTTCTGCCAACTTTAAGCTGCAACAGTAAGCTATGCAGCAGTGTTTTCCACTGATCATGGAGGCATAAACTTGTAACTTCCATTTACCTTCAGAACAGCCTAACCACAGGATCGGCCATGTCTCTCAGTCATCTGTCTTCTCTTTCGTTCCACCTCCGTACTGTGTTTCCTCTTGGGCACCGGCCTCCAACTGCTTCCCTCTCAAACCTTACACTGTTTCTCCTACAATTCTCTTGCATAGTTGTTTATGTCCTCTATCTCCTACAATTCTTCTACCCTGACCCCACGCTTAAATTGAAATTGCCTCCCTGTGAAGGATAGTTTTCTCTTCTGCTTTTTCCAATGGAAGTTCAGCTCTCTACTATACCTCAGACAGCTCAGGATGGAGCGGGTGTCCCTTGGCAGTGAGCACTGCTCTTCAGGCCCACACCATTCAGTTCCACCTCATCACCATCTCTTAGTCACTGAGCAATTTAGCACTCACTTCAGTTTTCCTTTTCTCCTAAGGCCTGCATCAGAGAACATCATCACTGCTGGCTTGGCCCTCTCATGTCCAGTGACCTGCTTCTCTACTCTCAGGACTACACTCAGAAATGTGCGAACTCCAAGCCCACAAATTCAGTCATTCCACTCTCTGATGCCAAATTTTTCCTATTCAAATTATGTGGAACACCATGAGATAATCAGTTTACAATGCCCTTCAATTTTTCTGAACTTCAAGTAGCTAGTGAATGTTTATGTGCCAGACACTGAAGTACGTATTAGCTCCTGACGGCTCCACTTCCTGCCCAGCTTAGCAGGTTCATCACTTCCAGGGCTCACTTGCTAGCATCCACTGACCTCACCTGGCAAAACCCCAATACTGTGTGATTTCAATTATAATTCTTCACTGTCTTAGTAGCTAGCATATGGAATGCTGGAGGAGAAGAGCCCATGTCTCACAGATCGGTGCCACTGTAAATTCAAGGTCAAGAATTTCAACCCTCCCAGCAAGTTGTTTTCCTTGTCAGCATTCGCTTCCATCCTCCATGACGGCTATTTCAGGAGCCCACATTTCCCCTATGATTTCTGCCTTTAGTCACAATTTCATTCCATCACATGGAAAAACAGAAGCCAGCAACCAGAATCCCTCACTTTTTTGCTACTAAACCTTTAAACCTGGCTCCACCTGAATGTCTTTTCTTCCTGTTATAATGCAAAAGGATTCCCTATCTTATCCAGGGCTCTTTGATACTTATTCTAAATCCCCTACTTAGGTAACATTTTGAAGATTTTGTGCTTTAAATTAAACTCTTTCTGTTCTGCATCACCACTCCCTCTGTGCTTCTTCCTATCAGCATTTACATATGCTCAGATCTTTTTTTTTTTTTAATTTCAATTTTTTTTTCTTCAAAAGGAGTGAGTTGTGTACAGGGGGGTTAAATGCTTTATAGACAAGAAAAAAAAA